ATTTTCTTAAGGCAGCGGGAGCTATAAAGCTCTTCCAAATAGGGGAGAAGGCAACCAATGATTTCTGGGCAATGATGTTAACCCTCTAGAGCACTGTCCTATCTGCCACTATGCAACTGGCAAACCATACAGAGATGCAGTAGGTTAAGATACTCTCTATGATGCAGCAGTAGAAGGTCATCAGCAGTTTTCCATCCAGTTATCGTTTTCTGAGAAGTCCCAGGTATTATACTAATCTCTGTTGGGCCCTTTTGACCAGGGCTGCAATGTGGGCACCCAGGTCAGGTCCTCTTTTAGGGTAACACCCAGAAACTTAAAACTGGCCACTTGTTCCACTCGGTCTCCATTGATAAGCAAGGGCTGGAGGTCTGATCTGCTCTTTCTATAGTCTACTATAAGCTTCTTGGTCTTATTGGTGTTGAGGACCAAGTTATTGTCTCCACACCACGAAAGCAACCAGTCCACCTCATCTCGGTAGGCAGACTCATCCCCCCCGGAGATAAGTCCCATCACTGTTGTATCGCCTGCAAATTTAGTAATAGTATTACTAACGTGAGTGGGAATGCGGTCATGCACATAAAGAGTATAGAGTAAGGGACTCAACACGCAACCCTGTGGTGTACCAGTGTTAAGAATACAGGCTGAAGAGGTATGATTACCTAATCTGATCCTCTGTGAGCGGCCAGACAGGAAATCCATAATCCCAAAACAGATTGAATGAGAGAGTCCAAGGTCCAGAAGTTTAGACACTAGTCTACTTAATAAATGGTACTGTTTCCCCCCTCCACAGTATCTATTTTTGTGATGGGGAAGGGGGACAGAGAGAAAGAGGCTGAAAGTGCCTTTTTGCAAAAATGATCTTTTCCCCTATTGTTTAGGGAGCCATACACACCTCAACTGAGCAGCATTTTTTTTTTTGCATGCAATGTTCCTGCTTTGTCATGTCAGAATAAAGATGGCTGCATGAAATGCCTAAGAGCCATGGCCAGGCGGAGACATTTCTCAATTAGAGCAGACGCATGGCCTGGTTTAATCGCTCTCTTCATGCATTCCTTACAGACAAGACCTCACCTGTGCCCCTGCCTCAGTCTCACCTGCCAATACAGCTGCCAGCAATCTGAGCCACTGTTTTAACACAAGAGCTCATGTACCTCATGCTGCCTGACAGCTGGTGCTCCAGAGGTGCTTCACGCATATATGAATGGAGCATGCAATTATGTGGGATTCAAGGGTTGCTATGTGCTTGTTGAAATGGGATGAAATCTGAACTTGTTGAATTAGGAGCTAGGTATCTGTAGGAGATATTGGTGGATGTTGTATGCAATCTGGATTAAAATCTTTTGAAGTATAACAGAATACGAGAGTTGGAAGGGACCTTGGAGCTTTCTAGTCCAACCCCCTGTTGAGGCAGGAAACCCTCTACCATTTCAGACAAATGGCTGACTGTCCAGTCTGTTCTTTAAAAAACTCCAGTGTTGGAGCACCCACAAGTTCTGGTGGCAAGCAGTTCCACTGACTAATTGTTCTCACTGTCAGGAAATTTCTCCTTAGTTCTGGGTTGCTTTTCTCCTAGATTAGTTTCCATCTGTTGAATAGTTCAGAACTGGAGCAGCTGCACAAGGGATTTGGTATTTTCTTTATTTTTTTCCAGCTCTCTAGTACTTGCAAATTGCATCATCGGGCAGAAAATTGTCAAACTATAACAGTGCAATTTTCCTTTTGTAAAAGGATTGAAATCCGTTTGAAACTTTTTAACACACACGTTAAGAAGTCCAAACCTGCCCAGGAATTGCAAGGTCCTGTTATTGGGGAAAGGAGTCCTTTGCAGCCTCTTTATTCCCGGGTTGACCCAGCTGGGCTGCACCTGTGATCCTGCTACCAGAGGAGACTCTGGATTCTGGATCTGGATTTGGGTCAGGAGGAGACAAGGCCTTTCCCACAGGAGGGAAGGAAAAGAGGCTGTCGCGGGAGAAGAGAACATGTTCAGCCCAAGGCTGGCCCGTCGAATGCATGGCCCTGCTGGACCCTGCTGGAGGCAGCGACTGTTTCAGAGGGTGAGCAAAACAGGCAGGAGGCAGGATTGGCTGTGAAACTCAGCAGTCACACCAAATCCCACCCTCCGACCAGTAGCTGAGAGGTGCCCAAATTCCTGCAGAAAAGCCCAGAAAATGCCAGCCAGCAGACCTGAAGGGCTAAAAGGTTGCTGATAGTGAGATCTGAATGTCTTTGCTCCTCAACTGATATAAGGGAAAGGAGGGGAGGCAATAATTATAGAAACTCACATAAATATGAAGAAACCCACAGGATAAGCAAGCTTAATTTTGCTGCTCTGCTTGCATGGGGAGAACATAATTGATTCAGTGGTTTTTCTGCTGCTTCTTGATTGTTTCCAAAAAATGTCTATGCTGCATTTTCACCACCAGATAGGGAGAATGTTGAGAGGAGAACTAAGTGATGGGCACAGCCAAATGCTCTTAATACTATCCACTGGGCCTTAGAGTTAACAGAAAAGCTTACCTGATGTTATGCCCCAGGAATGAGGCTGTTGAATGTGCTGCCCTTACAACTTGAACACAGGGCAAGATATAAGAAGAACTGATGAATTCCCTGGTTTAATTTTCCCTCCCAGTGAGTGTCATAACAATCAACCATTCTCCTTAATGTACAGTGGGGCAGGACTACATGAGGTAAGGGAGGGAGGTGCTTTAAAGGGCTCTTTTAACCACCATTGAGGTTGCAAGCATTGTGGGCGTTTCTCCCCCCCCCCTTTACACAGTGTGCCCCTCCTCCACATCTCTGACTAATCATTTGGGGGTTGACAAGAGTTGAAGCAGAAGGAAGCAACCAGTAACAAGCCATCTTCAACTGGTGCTAATTGGGCAGCAGCATGATCAAAAGCAAGCAGCCCTTGGAGTGGGCCAAGCAGCATGCCCAAATCAAATCGTAATAGCAATAGCACTTTGACTTATATACCGCTTTACAGAGCTTTACAGCCCCCTCTAAGCAGTTAACAGAGTCAGCTTCTTGCCCCCAACAATTTGGGTCCTCATTTTACCCACCTCGGAAGGATGGAAGGCTGAGTCAACCTTGACCCTGGTGTGATTTGAACTACCAAATGCAGGCAGCCGGCAGGCAGCAAAAGTAGCCTGCAGTACTGCATTCTAACCACTGAGCCACAGCAACAAGAAGAAGGAGGATGGCCAATTAAACCCTTCGCCAGCAGAAGCCACATGCACTAAGCACTTGTAACGGGCTCAAAGACAAAACCACCAACAGAGCCCATCTGCCTTTCGGGCTTGCCTCAATGTCTCTGCACAAGAGAGGAGCACTTGCAAGCAATTGGGCAGCAACAGACGTGGGCAGAAGGTCTTGAGGATGGGATGAAACCCACTGTCGGGCTTCACTGATTGTGCCAGCCACCTAATAGGGAGTGGGAGATGAGTCTCCGAATCTGCGCCTCCTACCCGACTAGCTGTTCCCCTCGATGAAACAACATGGGACTGTTGGCTGTTCCAGTTACAGCACATAACGAGGTGGATCCATTGCAAGTTCCTGCCGAACTATCTTTAATTGCAGGGCGTAAGGATTGTATTGCATTCCACAGATGATGGGGGGAACTCATCTTATTGTGGTTTCCTTTTCTTTGGCTTATGAGTCAGCACTTTGGAGTTGGGTGTGTTCTGGGCATCGGATATAGTTGTGATTAGGATTGCGGGGTGGCGGCGTGTGGGGTTAATTAGTTAGGCGGATGCTAGTTTGGGAATGGGAAGGGGATGGGGCATAAAAGGCGCTGAGAGGCGTTCACTCTCAGCGCTGGCTTTGCTCGGGATTGCTGTTGTTTGCCCACTGGGAGAAAACAATCTGCAATAAACTACTTTTCACCTAACCTGAGTAAATGTGTTTGTTGACTGAGTTTCCGGATTTCCGAAATAGGGTTTACACCCACAAATGGAAGATACAGCTAGAGGGATTTATATTATTTAAAAGGAACAGACCAAAGAAAAGAGGAGGTGAGGTTGTACTATATATAAGAAATAACTACCTCTCTACAAAAATAGAGCACAATACTGATGAAAACTGCCTTGAATGCATTTTGGTCAATATAATGGTGGAGGCGGGGGTGGGGGGTGGGGGGGGGAAATAACATTGTCATAGGCGTGCACTATATAGGCCACCCAACCAAACAGAGGAAATAGATGAACCTTTTGTTAGTCAGTAGGAAGTACATGACAATAATAAGGGGGTGGGGGGCTTCAACTATCCTGACATCAACTGGAAGGCAAACTCTGCACCAAGTGGAAGGTTCCTGACAAACCTAGCAGGCAACTTTATCTCCCCCAAAGTAGAGAAGGGATCAGCAATATTGGACTTAATTATCTCTAACAGAGATTAGATGATAGAAGAGGTTGAAGCTACAGAAACTTTGGGGTGGGGGTGGGGGTTGGAGTGACCATGCAATATTGGAGGCTGAACATTAGGCAAGCACAAGCAATACAACGAAGTCAAACTAGAGCCGCTGCTCCCGAAGGCTCCGGTACTTTGGAAAGCCCCACGGGGAGAGATCCGGGGCCGCTGCACCGGGAATAGGCACGGAGGCCCGGAACTCTCGCGAACGGAAGCGGCAAGGCAGCGGGAAGCCGCACCGCGGCGACGACTCAGGCTCCGCAGGGCGACTTTCGAGGCCGCGAGGGCTTCGGCCCACTCCTCCACCTGGACTGCCACACCCGAGGAGAAGCGCTCCGCCGCAAAACTTTCCTGGCCGCCCTCTGACGCCGGGCCGCGGGGGCTTCTCGACCAGGGGCGCCTGATCCCGCGCCCCTGCCCTCCCGCTTCTGCCTTCCGGCTGTTCCTCTTTCGGCAGGGCTGGGACTGGAGCTCCGCGCTCCCTCCCTTGTCACACACGACGGCGCGAAGCTCGCGGCTGCCTGCCTTGTTTAGTCCAGACCGAGTCCTCCCCGCCCCTCCCTCGCCCGGCTCTCCGCTCCCACGCGCGTGGCGGGCGCTCCTCGGCGGCGCACTCGGCGGGTCCACCTGCGCAGGACGGAGCGGCCTCTCCTCCGCAGGTAGGGCGCGGGCAAAGTCGTGCCTGCCAGGCGAGCGGCGGCAGGGGCCGGGTCGCGCTCTCCGCTTTCCCGCCGCTGGCATGCCTGGAAGCCAGGACCCGCGGCGGAGCGGCTGCTAGAGAGCCCGGAGGAGGTGGGACGCGAGGCTGCGGGGCGGGGGCTGCGCAGGTGGGCCGGGGCGGTACGAAAGGAGCCGGTCGCCCGGGCAGGATCGGCTGGGGAACGGGAGACGGGGAGGTGGAGAAGCCGAGCGCCTCCCGGACTCCGGCAGCGCGTCCGCCGCTCCTCTCCCGCGGCCCCGCAGCCCTGTTTCGCGGTTAGTGGGCCGGTCGTTCTCTCGACTCAACCCGCCTCGTAGGGTTCTTGTGCAGGGAAAATAAGGGGCCGGAGTGTTAGCTATGTTTGCCGCCTTGAGTTATATACTCTATGAAAAAGTCGGATAAAATCATAATAAAACTAACCCCAGTTGCTGACATTCTGCTCTTGAGTCTTAACATTGCGTGATTTTTGTATTAGCCCTTCTTGTGATTTCATTTTTTTCCTGAAAATATGTTTGTATTCATCATGACAGCAGCAGATTGTCTGCTGCCCTGAATTCTTCCAAGGAGAACTTCCATCCAGAAGGTTGAGTTTTCTGTTTCTCCCTTTTTTTCTGCCGACATCTGTGGTCAAAACTTCATTATCTTCCTTCCCCTCTATTCCTTTCTCTTCCCCACCCCACCCAAGGATGGATCAGCGGGTGCAGGAAACACAACACTAGTGCAAGGCTTTACATTTGAGTCTAAAAATGTGTTTGGAAGTGCAGGGGACAGGGGCTGTATGTGTGGGGAGAGGAGGCTTCACGCAAATGCCCCCCCCCCTTTTATAGGCTTTTATTATGCATTAGATTTTTTTTAAATGTTGTAAGCTATCCAGAGTCACTTATGTCTGTGCTGGGCAGCTATATATACATCTGTTTAATAAAAAGATAGTAAAAATAAACGTTGCCTCCCGGTGCATGAGGAGTATGAGATGTTTGTCCCTGCAGCAACCAGCCTTTGCTCAGGGTCTCCGGAGAGACGGTTGTAATGGTTTTGCAAAACAGAGTGTTAATCTAGGCCATCAAGGGTCCTTCTTGGTTTGATTACTAAATTTTTCCAGACAGACGAGAGTCTGTTCCAATCATTATTTGTTTGACTTCTCTCGTTCTAGAACTCGATATGTCCAGACTTCAAGAAAGTCTCCTAGGGCCACCTTGCTCATTTCTTCTGCTTTCTGAAGAATAGAGTTCAGCTCGGAATAAAACACCTTCTCCCAAGGATGGTGAAAAGCAGATTTATGGAACAATCTACAAACTTCCATGGTCTGTCCAGGGACTTGGAATTTAGAATGGTAGCTTCCTTTGAGGGGAGGAGAATGAACAGCCATGAAACAGAGAGCTGTTGGAACACGAAATCTGCATTATTTGAGAAGGCAAATTGTCTACAGGAGAAAGCAGTGTACAGCGAGATCAGGGATAGAAAAACTGGGGAGCACATATTAAGGGAACCCTGCTGGACATTTGGTGCCAGGAAACATTGGTTAGTGAAGGGAGTGCTGCAACAGAAGGAGAGTGCCTTCACCGAAGTGAGGAGGTCTGTGGAGAAAGTCAAAGAAGCAGAACAAGGAAACAGGAAGGCCGGTTTGGACAAAGCTGCAGTACAGTCTTCCCCTGGCAGCGCATTCTCCTTTGTGCGGCCGAACAGCATCCCAGGGGAACCCAAAAGTGCTTTCAGCAAACCAGCCAAGTGCTGGGAAGACGGAGGGGCTCTGGCTGCTTTTCGACCTCTGAAGGGTATCAAGGAAGGAAGCCCAAGGAAATTGTCGGAATGCATCGGTGCCACTGACCTCACGCCGTACGGTGGCCACCTCGCTTCTGGATTCCTGGTAAGTGATTCAGATGGTTTCCAGCTGCTGTCGGCTAACCTCATCCGGAGCAGCCCGTTCCCTTTCTCTTCAGCCCCGTGGCCAAAGGAAGCAGGTGAGCAGACGCAGGCCACCCCTGCTTCCAGCTGCAGCCTTCCCTCCTCTGCCTCCTGGGCTCTGCTGCCTCCCACTTTCTCCCCTCTCGGTGTGGCAGCCCAGAACTGGTGTGCAAAGTGCAGCCTCTCCTTCCACATGACATCGGACCTCGTGCTGCACATGCGTTCCCATCACAAAAAGGTCGAGGTCTCGAAAGAAACCCAAAGGAAAAGGAGGCAGGAGGAAAAGCTGGCCTGTCCCGTTTGCCAGGAATACTTTCGAGAAAGACATCATTTATCTCGACATATGACTTCACACAACTAGCCTGCAGATTTAATGGATCTCTACTTGTTGGATATGTTTGTGTGCACAAGTTGATTGAATTCCATTGTGGTTTTACTGTATTTAACCAGAATCTTCAAAAGGCAGCCTTTTGTAGAAGTGTTCAGAAGAAGTGTAATTACATGAGCTCCAGATAGCTCAAGTTCTGAAAATGAAACTGCAAATATGCTTATAAGGAAATAAACAGTAACATGTTAAGAGAAAAGTTTTGCTTTCTGCAGATCCATTTTCTTCACCCTAAACTATGAAAATGTTGATAACAATTTTTTTTCTTTAGTAATTTGAAGCAGCAACTTTTTCCATGTCAGAGCCATTGTGGAATGAAATTCTTCCCTAGCCTAGGATTGAAGTAAAGGATATAATTCATTTTAAGTTAAGCTTGATTCCTGGTGACTATCCAAGCAAATCCATATAATTTTCCTGAAGTGATAAAATGGCCTTCTTCAGTTGTGTGCTGCAGTGCTGCTGCACCAGGCAGTGACAGGTGTGGGTGGGGGGTGGGGGTTGTATCTCAGAAAAGACTGGTGAGGATGGAAGTGCCAGCTTCCCAGTTCACACCCACATGTCTGCAAGCTTTCAAACGAGACCGCAGTGATTAGAATAAGAGAAGCAGGAGGCATCCATTTAGGGGATCAAATCCAGTGCAGGAGTCCAAATTAAACCACTACCAACAAGTATCTAATTTTTCAGCCACATCATATTGTGGATTTTGGATAGCCCTGGTAGCATAAAAGTTCAAAGTTACCTCTGAATTGGTGATAGCTTGCCTCCAAGTACCAATTTCAGGGAGCCATTTTATCTCCTCAAATTATATTTAAGAACCAGTTTGAGTTTCAATATTCTTAATATAAACATGGACATAATGGTTTTGCTCCATATGTGTTTCTACTATCAAGATTGTAAAGAAATTTGTTCTAACAGAACTCTGAAACAAAATTGTACAACAATTGGTAAAAGGTATTCAATGGCCAAATACTAATGCAAAGTCCTTTTATTTGTGTTTGATCTTACAATTTCTGCTTTGTTTAAACTTCCAAAATGTAACTGACATTTGTTCTGAGGCATGACAAGCTAAGAATTCCTCCATAGCCTCTTGAAGTGACATCAACTTTATTTGCTACAAAAATGGGTATATTGCATCATTTATATTGCACTATACATAAATATATGTTGCACTAGCCAATTTGGTTAGTGGTTAAGCATCAGGCTAGAAAGCAGAGTTTGCTCTGACTGTTATATACAAATAATAAACATGTTGCTAAAATGTATAAACTTGTGTTGAAATTTGAGACAGAAAAATAAATATACTGTATAATAAAATGGGTTAATTTTTTTGGTTAAAATATACAAATGGAACAATGGGAAAATGGACACAAACGCATAGGCTAATTCAGAAATTTTAAAGGCTAAAGTATGGTTGAAACCAAAGGCTTTTATTTTGGAACTAATGGATACGCAGCTAGAAAAAAAGACTCAGAATGACAACTGCAGCGAGATTATTAGATGCTCAAAAACGGTCAGTATTGGCAAGATATGAAGTTGAACATGAAAGATGAATTTGTACTTACGGTCATTTTTGTATGTAAATGTGGAAACCTGGAATCATGTTGTTCACTAAAAAGATATGTTTTTAAAATGTGGAAAACTGAAATAAAATTTTACTTAACACCCCCCCCCCACCCCCCCGACAGTTTCAGCACTACCCATTAAAGGAAGGGATGGTTGGCAAAGGTGGTTGGACTTTCAGAGATGGCTACATCGACTTCCTTGCTCAGAGAAATGACCCCATCTGCATCTGGGGCTGACTGGACACCTCTGACGGAGGTTTTGCATGACACAGAAAAATGCACTTATGATTTGTGGTTTTGATGATTAGAAAAAAATAGATAATAGAAAAAAGTTAGCTTTTCTTTTTTCAACTAGAGGTAACTGCATAACTGTATTTGTATTTGCGGCAAAGAATATCAGAGGCTGCCTCTTTCTATTCCTTTTTCTTTTTTTCCTACAATTTGTTTTTTCTTAATCTATATTAGTTATTGTTAGTTTGTATTTTCTCTTTGAAACTTAATATATATATATATATATATATTGTAAGGATTTGGGGATTTCAAGTTATATTCTGAAACACAGTCTGAAATTAGGAGGATGGATAAATACTTCTTGCTTTCCTCTTTCTCCTTCTGTATTTTAACTATGATAGAAGACTTGGAATGATGTGTTGTCTGGCATGAATGCAACACCAAAATTTTAGCCTCGGGGGAAGAGAAAGGAACCGGTTGTCCTTTTGCCTTGATGCGAACTCTTGGTTTGACCTGCTAAGCTAACTCAAACTATGGAGGTGAGAGGCAAGGATCTCTTTGGCTTGGATGAGGGATTTTTCAGTGGGAACTGCCACGTGGGGATCCACTCCTATGCCCTCCCAAGAGTCCCCAGAAGAAATGGTGGATCTAGAAGTTGGGATGGTGACATAGAGGCTGGTCCCATCCACCTGAAGTGTCTGAGGGGGGAGGCAACCCCCGCTGGTCTTTTGTCCGACGATCAAGGCTCTGCCCAGCCTCTTCATGATGGACACGAATTGTTCTGCAGTCCCAGCAGTCGCAGAGCTGGTAAGAATGATCACGCTCTTCCCAGAGCCATATCTTTGACCTTGAAGAGACAGGAGAAGATTCAGAAAACCGCCCATGGTCTCACCGGACAGTAAACTTGATCAGAACCCATATTAAAATGAGCGTCCCTCTATGAATTCATAGAATGAAAATACATACTGTGATGCATACACTGTACAAGGCAGGGTTCCTCAACCTTTAAGACATATGGACTTCTAGATTTCCCCAGCTAGTTAATATGTATGCATGTATGTATGGTATTCAGCTTTGTTCGGGTATTTTCCCACGTCATTATAGTTGTGCTTTTAATGACGTGGGAAAATACCCGAACAAAGCTGAATACCATACATATAGATACCCACGAAAACTTAAAACATACGCACACACATACACACACACAGAGGAAGTCCTCAACTTACCACCATTTGTTTAGTGACTGTTCAAAGTTACAATGTCACTGAAAAAAAGTGACAACCATTCTTCTCTCTTACAACCGTTACAGCATCTTTGCCATAGTTTAACATTGGATAATGTTCTAACTTTAGCCATAATGTGCAGTAAGTAAAGAGAAATTATGACATCCACAACTTCAGATGCTGTTACCTAAAAGTTGGGAAGAAGTCCAAAGTTCACTGGTAGTATTATTTGGTCTGTAGTAGACTTTGTCCAGTAGAACTGGATGTCCTTCATCAAAGAAGTAAGAGCACAGAGTTGCTACAGCAGAGATGGGCCCTCCAGTGTTGTACCTAGTGAGGCATGGAAGAGAAGTAGGCATTGATGAGGAAACCTGACATTAGGCACCCCTACATTACCACAACTTCTTGTCTCTGGTCCCCCCAAAGCAGTTTGAAAATGATCCACAATTAAATCTTGAAATGCTCAGAACAAAAATGTCTTAACTGCTATAAGTGGCAGCCATAAACCCCTCGCGCCAGACAGAAAATTCTAACTCTTTGATTCCATTTAACAGTCATGAATTTTTCTAGCCCGGATCTCATAACCCAACTCCAGTTAAAAGATAAATCAGCTGTTTGTTTCACACTTCCCCATACCTGTTCTTATGCTGATTTTTTTAAAAAAAATTGTCTACTTATATATTTAAAAAAGCCATGTCGCAGTTAACCTAGAAAGATTTGAAATCCTGGAGTGCAGGACAAAGCAAGATTTTTGTGGTCTGTCTAGAAACTCTACAAAACCACAGCACTTAATAAAAAGTAATTAGTTTTATTATTCCAATATTGTTTTGGGAGAAATAAATTGTCAGATTTCAGATGATGTCATGGGAACCCAAAGGGCCCCAACTAGTTATGAATGGCTGCAACATCCTTATGAGAAAACACCAAGACATTCTGAAGTCTAGTAAAATAGAATGATAGAACTCTTTATTGGCCCAGTGTGGTTGGACACACAAGGAAGTAGCTGAACAAGATGTGCTAGGGATGTAGCGCTTTTCATGCACCCAGACAAAAGGCCTAGAAGGAGATACGGCTCCTACAATTCAACCTATGTTTCATATTGATAAGAAGGCTTTCTAGAAACCTGCTGTATGACATCAGATATCCTGATTGTGCTGGGTTTGTGCTTTGTGAAGTACTGCAATTTCATTGAGGAAAACATTGCAGCATCTTCCCACTGATTTATTTCAAATTCAGGAGATTGGAGCTTCTGTACCTCGATCACACATATTTTGGGGTAGATCCAAAGGTGGGCTTCAAAAATTTTAGCAAAGGGTTGCTTGTGGGCATGGCCCTGGTGGGCATGGCCTAGTCGGCCTCCTGCACCATGGTGGGGGTGGGGGTGGTTGCCCTCCCTGGACTCTAGAGGCTTTCCTTGAGCCTCCGGGAGGGCAAAAACGGCCTCCCCAGAGGGTCTCTGGAAGCCGGAAACGGACCCATTCCTGGCCTTCCCGAACTTCTGGGAGGCCCATTTTTCGCCCTTCCCGAGCATCTGTGCACCCTGCACTTACCTTCATCCAAAACGGGCCACATGGGGACTCCTGGAAGGGGAGGGGAGGGGCGGGCAGGGCCAGCCAGGAGTGGGATTTGGGGGTTCTCCAAACTGCACAGAATCTTAGCTAGGGGCTCTCCCGAAACCCCTGGGAACCCCCCAGCAGCCCAGCCCTGGGTAAATCCCAAGAGGTCAAACTTTGGATATATTGTCATTATGCCCTCTATCCCGGTATCCAACCTCCATCCTTGCATTTATCTTGAAGGGTGGATAAATACATTTCCTCCTGCAAGGAACACATAGCTCATAATCTGGTCGGTGATGGCTTCTCAAGATATACTGCATTGTGTTGGGCCCAGGAATTAAATTTGACAAATACCTTTGTAGCAAAGCATATATTTTGGAAGTTTTATCTTCATTGCTTATTCTACTTAGGGCAGATTATTTACCTCATGTCGATGATTAGTGCGTTAGTGTGGACAACCTTCTTCCAGATCTGTTCCACCATCAGCTCAGAGAATTGAGGCCAAAGCTCACTCTCCCCAAATGTATCAAATCTGAGGTAACCAACATTATTCTCAAACACTTTGGTTTGGAATGAAAACTTAATGTGGTCTTCTAACGTATTTGAGGAAGGAATCTGAAATATTTTTTAAAAAATAAGTAAGTAATTTTCAAGAATAACATAAGAAATATGAGAATCCACCTTGCATTAAAATAATACATCTTGCAGCTAGACAGTTGGGATGATCAGGACTGAAACCTTACTCAAATTAGTCAACATTCCTCAATCAACATTTATTTGTTTATTTGATTTATTTGATTTGTCAAACACTTACAATATAATAGAAATAAGAATAAACATAAGTATAAATACATGAAATAGGTACAAATAATTGGGGACAATAGGACAGGGACGGTAGGCACGAATGTGCACTTATGCACAGCCCGCTGAAGTCGTACTTCCTGCAATCAAGTTTGGAGTGGTTTACATTAAGTTTATATCTGTTGTGTGCTCTTGTGTTGTGGTTAAAGCTGAAATATTCATTAACTGGTAAGACATCGTAAGAGATAATTTTATGTACTCTGCTTAAGTCCAATCTTAGCCGGCGTAGTTCAAGGTTGCCTAAGCCTAGAATCTGGTGGTGTAGGGTATTCTGTTGAGAGGAGTGTAGTACTCTTATTGTAAAATACTTCTGGACTCGCTCAATTGTATTTATGTCTGATATACAGTGCAGATTCCAGACAGCGGAGCTGTATTCAAGTATTGGTCAAGCAAAGGTTTTGAATGCTCTAGTATATAACATCATAGCACTATGACAAGAATAAATAAATAAGTCAATGGAAATCACGGGAACTAAAGTTTATCTGCTTAATGTCCTTTCTAATTTCATTTTAATGAAATGATTATCAGGAACTAGTCATACTGGGCCTTCTGAGACAAGTCTGTTAAAATTATTTTATAATTTTTAAAATATTTTATTTATAGTAAGCATGCTGCTTGATTATAAACAAAATCAGAATGTAGTACTATACCAACCCGTTAAGCTGTGTGCACATAATTTTAATTTATAGCTCAGTTAAGCACCAGCATAACACCAGTAAAGTTGCAAATTGAAAAATACATTTTAAAATGTGAGATAAAATATTAATAACACAATGAGAGTCCTAGGACAAAACTATAGAGTGGTTACCCATTATCAGTATCTAAAATATTACATCTTTACACTCAAGATTATAAGTGAATATTATAAGTGTGAGAAAAATTAGAAAAGGCTGCATCATTGCCAATCTATAATTAGAGTAAAAGTGAAACTGAATTCCTAGTTTTCATTTTTCTAAAAAATTAAAGACATAAAGACAAAAATGAAAACTACCTAGGGAAAGCAATAATAAGTTAATGTAACCAAACACAGTAAACTAAGTAATATGAACTGAGCTGTTACGGTGTAAAGTCAGGAGCGTGCTACTTGAACGAATCCAGTTCTTGAGGCAAGTCCAAAGGAATTTATCCCATCATAGTAAATATTAACTCTCTATTCACACAGTTTTTAGGTCAGCGGCTAATGAAACAAGCTAATGGGCACTTACTTGCATGGGCA